AAACAGGATCAGCAGGCTGTGGCCCTGCTTGAGGCAAGAACAACTTTCAGGATGGTCGACGGAGTCTTCAGGCATGCTACACCTCTACTCCGTCACCCACAGATGCCGCCACTGAATGCACCAAAGGAATCAGTCATGCCCATGCCTCGAAGCACAGAAAGGATCTCCTAAGTAGCTTAGACACGGATGCGTTCCTCATGGCCCTGAGGTGATACATAGCCAGAAGAGTGACACCGGCAGAGTTATGGTCAGACTGTTGGACCAATTTCAAAGGGGGAGAACGAGAACTCAGAGAAGCCTTTGCCAACATGTCAGAGACATTGCAGGGGAGGCTCGCCCGTCAGAAGATCAGATTCCAGTTCAACCCCCCGGCAGCCCCACATTTCGGAGGTGTATGGGAGAGGGAAATCCGTTCAGTGAAGACAGCTCTGCGCACCTGTGTGGGTTCCCAACCTCTTCACGAGGAGGTACTCCGTACAGTTCTGCTGGAGGTGGAATTGATCCTTAACGCAAAGCCCTTAGGCTACGTTTCCACCGACGTAGCCGATGTGGACCCTGTGACACCCAATAGTCTCCTCATGGGGTGGCCTGATGGATCACTACCCCAGGTGGTCTACTCAGAGACAGAGAACCTCAGTCGACGACGTTGGAGGCACTCACAGATTCTTGCTGATCAGTTCTGGGCAAGATTCATCAAGGAATACCTGCCTGGCTTACAGGCGAGGCAGAAGTGGCAGTCAACTCCTCCTGAACTTCTGGAAAAGGCAGTTGTTATGGTTGCAGATCCGCAGCTGCCTCGAGCCTTGTGGCCAATAGGCCATGTGATCAAGATTCATCGTAGTGATGATGGACTTGTCAGATCTGCTGATGTGAACGTTAATGGACGTGTTTCCACCAGACCAGTTGCTCGGTTGGTAGTTTTACCTGCCGTGCCATCGGAAGACAGCGATACTGAGAAGAATAGCAAGTCGCCTCCCGGAACTGATTAAGGAGCCTTTTTTGGAGAGCAAATGTGTAACCACATTTGGGGGTGGCTATATAAAAGGCTCTGGGATTTTATGTCTATGTTCTGCAATATTGTGTGGGGTGGAGTCGTAGGAAATGACGTAGGCAGAAGTTGGGTGTAACGCAATGCTACTCGAGAAGGGGAGATTGTTTTCCGTGTTAGTTCTGTTTACCTCGTAAGCTGTGTTCCTGGTTGCCATCCTTCAAGGTGATGCTCCAAGTGTTAAGTTCCTGACTGGAAGTAAGTTTCCTTAAATATGTTTATTTTCCGATTCTGATGTTGGCCGCGGCTTTAGTT